CGCGGGGCCTCGGAGACAAGTAGGCCGTCTGGTTCTGATAGCGATGGAGTAGCGGGAAAGGAAAAACAGACAGGAGGGACATTATCTGTTGGAGGAGATTGAGAGGACGACGAGGACTTGCTACGTGGAGGGGAGCCAACGGCAACCGGACAAATACATGAGGGAGGCCCAATACGTCACTCATATGGAGGAGAGGACTAGGCGCTCGTAGAGCAGAGTGGAGAAGTGCGATCACAGAGCCTGCCGAGGCTCTGAAATGACTTTGATTTGTTGTTTAAATAAGGGGCCTACAAAAACTATCAGCCCCAGGACCTGATGGCAGGTTAAGGCGGGCTTGCAGATACTGACTGGTTTTCGGACCCCCCCAATAAAGCAGAACTGCACGTTTCAGAGTGGCCTTTTATTGTGGCCAGCCTAAGGCACACCTGTGCAATAATCATGCTGTCTAATCAGCATCTTGATGTGCCACACCTGTGAGGTGGGATGGATTATCTCGGCAAAGGAGAAGTGCTCCCAATCACAGATTTTTTCAGATTTGTGAACAACATTTGAGAGAAATGGTTATTCCGTGTATGTAGAAAATGTTTTAGATCTTTGAGTTCATCTCATGAAAAATGGGAGCAAAAACAAAAGTGTTGCATTTATATTTTTGTTCAGTGTATATATACATACATATACACATGTATATATATGTATATATGTATGTATGTGTATATATATGTATATATATATATATGTATGTATACATATATACAAATACATATATATATATATATATATATATGCATACATATACTGTACATATATATTTTACCCTGAACTTTTACTTAAATTAAAATGTTATATAGGATATCTCCCTGACAGTCTGAGTGCAAGCGGTACGTTAAGCGGTAAGCGTAACACTACATGATACTACGTGACACTACATTCTTTTTTTTCCAAACAAAAGATACTAATGAATTGTCTGTCACAGTCTTGCGAGATCTGGCTATAGAGCTTCAATATACGTGAAACTTTCATAGGTTTAAACTAATGTCAACTAAAAGACGCTAACTCCCAAACTAACTAACCTTTATAACTCTAAATAGGTTTGTTACATTTGTTAATATCCCATGTTAGATAAAAAAATATGTAAATACATCAGGCCTTGCCCACTTAGTAGAAAGAAAGTCCCAATCCAAATGTCCACACTCACAGATTTAGGTCTGTAACCCTGTCAAATCGTCAAGTGCTCTCTATTTTAAGCCCTTTGTTCAAATTGACCATAACTGCATTTCTCAATTTCTGGCTTTTTCTGAGGTAAACCAAAAGATAGTTTGGGGAGGTTATATACAATATTACAAAGGGGAGGCTACGGGGGTATTCAGCGTGGCATAATACAATTTTACCAAAACATAAACATTATAATTTAAGATGCAAAAAGCTCATACAATCAGATGAATGCAGGGCTATATTACAATTTTAGTTGTTGTTCGATGCTGTTTTAACGAAAACAAGTAAATCAATTATTTGACAAAACGTCTCATCTTGTGTTACCTTGGAACATGTTTAAATCAGGCAGGAGAAAATTCAAAAATAAAGCCCCCACAATTAAAACATGTTTTAGTGTAATATGTATTTGTGGATTTGTATTACCTTTATTTGCATGCATTACAATTATTGTAAACGAAACTCAACTAACTTGGCACTTTAATTACTGCTCTATGGTAATTGAGTTTCCCCCCATTAGACAAAACAGCTTTAGCAGGATAACATAGGTGTCTGAAAGGCTTTTTAATGTACGGCACCCATCCTCTGCACACCATGTCTTACTAAATCTTAAAGTGTTTAATCCCCCGTAATTACTCAGATTTGGTTAGGTTAATAAAAATAATCCGCCTCATTTAAGACCCCCCACATGGACCTCCTGTGTGCCTTCTTTACCCCTTTCTGTGAGGGATACATTCACAGTCATATAAATAGGGGCATTTCACAACCGTGAAGCACAACTCTTCGAATCAAGAGCGAAAAGGCTGTTGCATATTGGTTTTGATTGTCAGGTTCATCATAGAGGCCAACATTTTGTATTAAAATGCGTTGCTAACCAATGTGGCCGTGTTAATACTGATTGACTGACGTCATTTCCACAAGTTGAGATTGTAAGCGCATCAAGCTTAACAACAGTTGAGAGGCTCATCTTTATCTGTGATCCTGTCAACAGTAGGACTTCCACGAAAGAAGCGAATGGAATCAAGGCGGTTAGTTTATAAACGGTACAGCATTTTGAAAATAGCCATGCTGTGAAACTTTTGGAAAGAGAGACTTTTCATTTATCACTTGATACTTGTCCAGCTTGGAGCCAACACAACGTCTGTAATGAGTCTAAGATACCTGAATTCAGAGATGACAATGGAGGACAGAAGCAGCCGCGCCAGCGGCAGAGAGAGGTTAGGGCTGAGCTTCACGATCGATTACCTTCTGTTCAATAAAGGAGTCAAAGGTTCCAAAGAAGAAGCGACAGGAAGTCGTACAGCAGAGCAGACAGCGAACAACATGCTAAATCATCAGATTCCTAAACCCGGAGAGGTGGGGATTCGCTCTGAGATACAGGAGAAGCGGCTACAAAGGTCAGAGACTGAAGAAAGGAAAGTCAAAGAAGAAGAGGAAGGGGATGAAGAGCAACAAGAGAAAAGGGAGGGGGAAGTGACGACCACCACCTCGACTGATATCAGTCCAGAAAAGTCTGAGGACAAACCCAACCAGTCGTACATCGCACTTATATCCAAGGCAATCCTGGCGTCAGACCAGAAGAAACTGCTGCTCTGTGACATCTACCAGTGGATCATGGACCACTACCCTTACTTCAAGACTAAGGTATGTTCACGTCAATTCTCCTGTGATAATCTATTTACTCTGCAGGCATAGATGACACTGAAATAACAAGATAGTTGATGTTAAAGCTACAATACAGGGATCGTTGTTTGTGGGCACATTCTAAAATAATTTTGCTAGGACTATTTGTTAGTCGACCACAAGACAGATAACGAGAACCGGTGTTAAGCGTGTTTCATTCAGTCGCCGAATAACAACATGGCAGCCATTTTCCAAAGTAAAGCAACCTATTTGGCACGCGTAATCTGTCTGCCTGGTTAGGCAATTAGGTGCTCTCTGTGACACTAGATTCACAAATAAAGTAATCCTGTTGCTAGGTTGCAAACCGCTTCTGCGTTTGCCAGGTGCAACAACAGATTGCATGTAGGCTATTGGATTAAAGTTGTTTAGTGGTTTGACGTGCTAAAAAGGTAACTGAAGGTGTGATGTGACTTGATGCGATCATATACGGGCTTGACACGCCATGGCACATCCTTCCAGCAACAGGAACTGTGGCCTCCTGAGTAGGATTACTCACTTAATGCACTTAATTTAAATTGGGGACACCTATTGTTTTAACTCTTCTGGTTTGGTTATTGGCCTAAGTATATTTATTTTCACATTCCAACAGGATAAAAACTGGAGGAACAGTGTGCGTCACAACTTGTCGCTGAACGATTGCTTCATCAAAGTCGGACGCAGTGACAACGGTAAAGGCCACTTCTGGGCGATTCACCCCACAAACTACCAGAACTTTTCTAAGGGGGACTACCACTGCAGAAGGGCACGGCGGAGGGTGCGCAGGGTGGCGGGACAGCTTTCCTTTTCCTCCCTGAGCTTGCCCTACCACCCCGCCTTCACCCGGCCCCACAGGACGACCTGTTGGTGCTGCCCTCAAACCGAGACCCTCCCTCTGTCCTGCTTGGCCCCCAGACTCTACTGGCCGTGGTCCAGTCTGCAGCAACAGGTGGGCTTCAACCCGGGCCTGCATGCCTTTGTACCCTGATGTGAATAGAGTACTGAAATATAGTTATATTTGATAACATTTTTGTCATTAGGTGATGTTGAAATGGTGATGTGGACAATGTTGCATTATATTTAACAATAAGTGACTCTTTAGGAAGTTCAATGATAAAAATGTATGACTCTTATGCACTTGCTGCACCTTTTTTCATTTGTATTCTAAGTGTTTTTAGACACAGAATGTTTTGGTAAAATCTCATTAAATCATATTGAATTTACACCTGTGTGTGTGTGTGTGTGTGTGTGTGTGTGTGTGTGTGTGTGTGTGTGTGTGTGTGTGCGTGAAGTTGCTAACACACCGTAATAAATATTTTCTTAAATATTTT